CTGCTAACTTTAAAATGAATAACAAAGCATTGCATATCTCAGATTTTAGTGACCAACTAAACAGATTGTCTTTTTCTTTCAACCTCGGATTCTGCACGACAAAGACTAAGTTAGCATTATTAGCTGAAATATGCTAACTGTTGAGTCGCGAGCCCGGTGGCTGTCAATCAAAATGTGATCAGCCACGCCCACAAAGTCTTGAGAGACGGTCTAAACGGCTAAATGAGCCTCTTTAAAACTGGATTTGTTACTGATTACTTTTCACTCTTTTGTTAGACTAAATGAGGCTGAAAACTTTAACACCATATGAATCTTGACGATTTCAAGACAGATTTCCAGAGGCTTTAAATTCTTGTCTGTTTAGTTCAACCAGTTGTCCATGAGACTTAACGTTCAGCAGCGGGTCCTCTCTGCTACAATGACTTCAAGTCTTTAAAATACAAAACCCAAGTTACAGAAGAGACAAAGACATTCAAGAAATCAGAAAAAAGAAAAGATTCCAGACAGACGAAGCTCAGACGCAAATACATGCAGTCACAGGTACGCTACATTCACACGCTCGCTCACATTCATTCCCATCACGGCAGCGTTAATCGCTGACACTCATCTGCGACTCGTTTAATTACTCACAGTAATTAGCCAGAGGCAGGAGCTACCGGCGCCGCTCGTCTCTCTCTCTGTTTCACCTCTCCTGCTCTGTCTCGATGTTTCTTGCGGTGTGAATGTCAACCGGCATGCCCGTGTGGTATAAAGAGCAGCACACCCCTGCTTTCATAAATTATGACCAGAGACTGGCATCACTAAGATGGCTTTGGAGAGTTTATTCCCAACATGAAGTGACCGTTTGAACCCCTTATATACCCAAGCTGAGATGTCTTTGTTTTTAGAATCATTGCCGACACAATATTTTTTGATTTTTTTTTTTTAATATACGAAAATGCATCACATCGATCAAAACGTTCCTCCCTCTCTGTTCAGTCGGCTAATTGAATTTGCAGCTGACTTTTAATTAACAGCAGAGCCAATTTGCATAAAGTTGGGTAATTTGCATATGGCGGACGGCGGCCCCTCCCCCCCAGCATGTCTGAGTGCCTGGCACAGAGCCAAGAGGAGGGAGGAAAGAAGAAGGGAGGAAGGGACGAGTAGAGGAGGAGAAGGTGAGGAGTCTGCACACAAAGGAGAGGACAAACAGCAGATGGGGGAAGGAGGAGACAAATAGGGGCAAACAAGTAATCATGCCATGAGAAGCCACGAGGTAGACACACACTCAAAAAACAAAAAAACAAATGTATGCGCAGCGTGATCCCTCACACACACACAAACCGGTGTCACACTGGAACAAATATCTCCACAGATTTTGCAATCAAGTGGGCTAATTAATGAATCAAGGAGGGAAACGGATGCGACGCATGCTAAACAGTTACAGTGGTCGTACAAACAGGTGTTAATTGGAGGCACATTGGCTCTATGCAGATGAGCAGGCCGACCTGATAACAAAATACAGAAATAACGTGCAAACAAAGAATAACACCTCTGCAGCTTTAAGTGGAGGGATGCTGCAAGACAGAGCATGCAGCTCAAGAGGTATAAACACTCAGAGTGTAAGAATGTATGTTTGTTCAACAGCAAGTATCAGATTAAAGATTCAAAGACTCACAACTCCCTCTACTCTCCCCAATCTACAGATAAAACTACAGTAACCATGTCTCTCATGTTCATGCCCACATAGAGATAGGACATGATGAAGTACTATGCTACTGTACTTAATCTCCCCAGGTATCGGTTTTTAACTTCACTAGATGTCATATTTTTACATTTGCGCTCCACATTTTTACAACAATATCTGTACTTTCTAGTACACCAATTAAAATGTTTTCTAAAGTGGAATTATCTTAGTTAGTTTTTCTGTGCATCATTGTATGACACTTTCCAAACATCAAGAAGGATTTCTCACTTAACCGATGCAACAATATCACATGAAGAAGATGCTTCTTTGAATGCTTCCTTCCTTTGTGTTCATTTTTTTTAAAGATTTCTTTTTGGGCTTCTTGTGCCTTTAATTGAGAGACAGGACAGTGGATAGAGTTGGAAATCAGGGAGAGAGAGAGTGGGGAATGACATGTGGGAAAGGAGCCAAGGCAGGATTTGAGCCTGGGCCGCCCGCTTGGAGGACCACAGCCTCCATACATGGGGCGCATGCACTAACCACTGTGCTACCAGTGTCCCACTTGGTGTACCTTTTAGTGAATATCACACGAGAGGTAATATGACACAAACTATAAAAAAAGAAAAAACCGACAAGAGACAAAAACTGCAGAGCAGATTCAGAGCAGCAAGACATTTCCCCAAACAAAGACCAACCTACACACTGGTGCTACGTTAGCGTCCAATATTTCAGTAAACAGCCTTCAACAAGTTCCCTCAGAGGACATGTCAATGTTTTAACTATTTCACTTTAACTTCAGGGGACAAATAGAATCAGCACTTCTACTAAAACTTTTGTGACATCCGCACACATGAACCAGGATGAGTATTTGTCTGTCCTCGCTACCTCCCACCCATCACATGTTTCAGGGCTGACCATTAAACATGTCATCTATCTGTTAATGTGTTTCCCAGAATGCCTGGAAGAGTGTCCAATATGTCCGTGTAGCACTTTGGTAAGAGGATGGATGACATGTTTGAATCTTCAGCCAAATCTGTTCAGACATCGCTAAGCATCAAAATAGCTGGCATGGTGCATTCAGGGACGTGTGTACAAGTGGAAACACTCTGCATGTAACTCTGAATATATATATTCAAGCCGACAAACACTAAACATCCGCAACCTGCGTATCGTACAACCTGAAACAGAAATAAAACTCTGCATCAGCTCGCACAAAAAACACCGCCCCGCCTGAAAGCAAACAGCGAGCTAACAAACACGGGTTCTCTCTCTGTCTGAGTTGCCCGACTTCATTAGTATCCAGAAAAGATTGCAGCTCGTTAATGAATGTCATTAAGGCAGGCGGTGAAGCGCTGGGTGGCTGCCAACAGGAACGACTGCTGGGTGGCGTGCAGGGAGGGGGACGAGTCACGGCCGGTGCCGAGCGGAGCTGCAGCTGCTCCTCTCTCGGTTTCTCCCCGGAGAGAAAGGAGTATGAGAATGTGGGGGTCTCAACTTTTGACATGAGGGTGCACGGATTGTCAGAGGACCGGAGGGGGGAGGTGGTGTGGGTGCTGCAGGCGTGTGCCATCTGAAAACGGCAGGCGCCATTTTGAGGAGCGATGCAGCGGGGTCGCCATTTTGAAGCGTTTCTCATGGGGGAAATGAGAATTAATGAAAGTGCAAATATCCAAAGCATATTTAAATATTGACACTGGAAAGGCTGATTTGATTACGAGGCATTCAGTGCACTACTGCATCAAGTTCGCTGCAACGCTTCGACCTCCCAGCAGCGACTCGTACCACAAAGTTTCTCTCAGTCTCGAAAGCAGACAAAGAGAACAAAGTGTGGCAGCTTTGTTCAGCGTTTAATGGAAACCACTGCGTTGCATTTTCAGAGAAAATCTGCACATCCAAAATATCAGCTAGGAACTGAGAACATCGAGTTCAGAGAGGACACTTTTAGGTTATTGAGTTTGTTGTGATGTCGCCAAATGAGCTAAAAAAACAAAAAACAAGACCATCAACAAGAAGACTGAACATTTCTTCATCGTTACACTTTTTATGTATTATAAAAAGTGGGACACCAGACACAAACATGGCGGCCTTTCAGTCCATTAACAACGTTTCTACATAGCTTTGGAGCTACTCATTATCATATCATGTTTATTATGATGCGTGCTTCTGTTCCCTGATTGGCCAGGTCATCTTTGTGAAAGAGATCTTGATTTTAATGAGTTAATTACCAGTTTAAATAAAAAAGGGTTTATTACCATTGAATATGTGATTTTATTTATGTTTTAAAGGTCTATTTTGGGGCTTATTTTTTTTTTTATCTCTTTATTAAAGAGAGTGAGGAATGACATGTAACAAAGGAGCCACAGGTTGGATCTCGAACCCGGGCTGCCCACTTCAAGGTCTGTAGACTTTGCACACGGGGCAGGTAAGCTAACCACTAGGCATCGGCGCCCCTACATTGTGATTTCAGCTACAAAAGGTGATTCAGGGGATTCTTTTGCTGCAGTACAGCGAGTGGCCACAAGGCAACACTGGAAATCAATAAGTAACTTCATGTGAGTGAGTGTCACAGGTGTTTGAAGCCTCATGTTTATATTTTCTCTTCTTGGTTTTATGTAATCAGAAGGGATCATGCTTTGATGATGAGGTTGGTGTGCGTTTCATGGTTGTGACAAATCACTGTAGTAATCTTAGAGCTACTCATCTTAAAAATCCACATACACATACTACATTACATACTACAAACATCTGAGTTTCTGTCACTTATAAAACAAATGCACTCTAACCTGATGAAAAACATCACCTCAGCGCTCCCCGTTTCTAGCTGCTGTAAGTCAACATGTGAAAATCACCACAATAAAAGCTTTTTGTTTGTAAAGTAGTGTGTGAGTACCTCTGGATGCTGACGTCTGCACATCCTCACACTGATCCATGACTTGTCTGCAGCTCGCCTCCTGCTCCAGTCTCTCTCACTAAAGCAAGAAAACACTCACTGATGCATTCAAATGATTAGTGCTAATCAGTCGTGCACTGCCCGAGCAGGCGGCCATATTGATTTCAGGGACTAATCAAAGGGAAGGCTTAACGACGTGACGATTAAAGTGCTCCAGTGTGTGAATTACACCTGCGCTTAAATGCAGAGGAGATCCAGTGTAGTCGAAACTGATCTGTGTGGCTCCTCCTCCGCAGTGGAAGCAGGAAACGAGCAGGTGAACTCACACAGTCTGGATGTTTGTCTCCAGCTTTCTGCAGCCTGGATCTGTCAAAGAAATCCACCAAGGAGAAAAACAGCGCAGGGAGGAATTTTATAGAAAGAGAGAACTTGAGGAGAAGAACATATTTTTACAACTTGAATCTTTATTTCTTTAAAATAATATACAGGAAACTTTGTTATTATCAATAATACAAGTACAAAAATGTTTGCAGAACACAGACGCATATACAGGACAGAGCATGACAGATAAAAACATTATATATGGTTCAAACTGAGATCGATCATTGGTAGATTATGGGGGGTGAAGGGGAGAGAGGGGTTAAAAAATAATGTCTAAATGTTGTCTATTTGGCACCAACAAACAAACCTGCTTCTCTGTCCAGTTTCAGCCAACATGCTCGCAAACATTCTCCAATAAATAAGGCACTAAGACGGGCGACAGGGCAGGAAACACATGAGTGTGTGTGTGTGTGATAGAAAGTGAATAAGTGGACCAAAACAGATGACAAACGTTCACATTTGATATCGTGCATAAATACTTATTCGTCTTAAATCACTCTGTAGATATTCCTATCAATAAAAAAAAAGAAGACATTTATTACTAAGAATTTAAAAAAGAAATCCATATTGAACATGATATCTACATTTAAATGAAAACACAACATGTGAAACATATGAGCGGAAACATGGTACGTGGGATTTGATGACCTTTCTTTGGTTCAAAGTTGAGGAAAGCTCTGAATAATGCTGCGTCACATAAACAGACCGCAGAGCGCTGCTCGGCCCCGTTCCAACATGTTTTCAAAAGACAGACGTCGACAGTGATCGAGAGCAACACCGAGTATCATCACTTCCCACGTATGTTCATACAAAGATAGAAAACAGTGAAGCCCTTAGCAGACATGCATCAGTACTTTTTATTTACTCCTTAAATTCAAATGATTAGAGTGTTTACTCCAGATTTGTCTTATTTATCTCATATTTGCAGACAACAATCCGGCCTTTCACAGTGACCAGATTATTTTTTTGTTTTCTAGACCTCCAGAAAAAGATTCTGTTACCATGACTAACCCAGCTTTGTTATCCTGGAAGATTCATGTTGTTATCTGGAGATTACAAGGCTTCGAGAAAAACAACATTACTCTGTGTCCAAGGAAAAACGGAGTAAATAAAATGTATGGATGCATGATGGCTGAAGGCTTCCATAGAAAAATGTGCTTTTGTTAATGCATCAATTCTGAAAGGCACTGCTTAAAAACATCAAAGTTGAATAAAGTAAAAGTGGACGAGGGTAACAAGATAATTAAGGCACTTCTGACACTGAAAGATTTGAAAGCGTCCGTCCGTTGTGTTTGGCAGATGCTTAATGTTTGGCACCACAAGTTAAAAAAACCACAAAAGCCGGATGACGAAGGCGATAAAATCAAGCTGCGGCACATCACGATGACTTCACTTCACGTCTTTGTCGGCGGCAGTGAGAGGAAAGTGTTTGTTCATGAGCCGGTACACGGACGGGGAAGAGTCCATGCGGCTGCACAAAGTCAGTGAAATATAAAGTCTCCTAAGTTTCTGTCCCACCTGTGCGATGGAGATGGATGGAGTGGAGGGAAGACTGTCGGTTAAAAACGGAGTCTCATTGACACACAGGTGAGGGCGCCCGCGTGCGTGCGTGCAGGTGGCGTTTACATCTCGTGGGCGGAGAGATGGTGTTCTGGGAGACCGTTGGCATGAGACACCGCCGTGTTGTTCTCATTGAGGCGCCTCACGCGATACATTTCATAGTGGATGCTGCTGGTGATGTCCTTAATGTTCTGCATATGGGTCCTGAAACAAACATGCACACATAAACTATTAAAATACAGAAGACGTTTTAACGTCACACAGAACTGCTCAAATACCTCGACTACTGTTTTTTTACGTCACTGAGATGTTTGGACTTTGATCACAGGAGTCATTTTGACAAATTGAGACTCTTTTCAGATTCAAATGCAAAATCTTATATTTAGAAATTTGATAACTGAAGTTTGTTTGGAAGGCGAAATTGCTCCATCAAGCACCTGAAGGAAATGAGACCACCTCGACTGTAAAAATCAACCTCCTCTTGTAATTAACCCCTCTGTCACATAACTACAGGATTTATTGTCCTGTTTATCACATCACCTTCTGTACTCATCCTCACTACACTGCTGTCATATAGGCTTTGTTTAACTGTTCATTATTTAATGTTTGATGCTTGTTCATGGAGAGCATGGAAGTTAACCGGAGTCAAATCTCCTGTATGTGCACTCATACCTGGTCAATAAAGCTGATTCTGACACCTGCATGGTTACTAAGGCTGTACAATTGTTGTTCTTAGGGTTATTTAAGGAATCATAAATAATGTCATACGACCTGTATACGATCCTATAACACAACAAGACAAGGTGGCATAAAAACAGACAGAGTTAGAGATCAAAAACTTCTCTCACCTGATGAGGAGATCCCGTAAATAAGCAAACTCACAGTGAGCGATGTTCTCAACTGAAGGAGACAGAGAGAATATGAGGTATTAGAAATGATACACAGAGGATATAAAACTGGCTACAGCAGACACTGGCAGAGTAAGCTCCAAAGGTTAAACTGCATTAGAGCTGTGTGCTGTACTGTTCCTACAGTCCACTAGGGGGAGTCAGTGAGCTCACTGTGATGTCACTGTAGACACATCAAGTACTATATGTGGATTTAACAATGAACAATGTAGATCTGTGTTACAAATGTATGTGAATCGAGTCCTTCTGAAGAGATCAGACCAAATTAAATCCTGCAGTCTCTGTGTGTGTGTGTGTGTGTGTGTGTGTGTGTGTGTGTGTGTGCACAGCACACTGCAGGAAATGAAACTTCCTTAATGAGACACTTGATGGAGGGTGGGGCCTCCTGTCTGAAGTGGATAACATAATTGAATATTGAAAGATGTATGCAGCAGGAAGAATGGATGTTAAGAAAAGTCAACACTGAGCTGATGTTGGACTTCTAAGCCGCTGATAAGACGGAAAAAGATTGAATGAACCATAACAAAACAAAGGAGGAAAAATGACACAATCTTTTTCTTCATGAGATTTTATCTATTTGATAAAAAAAAAAAAAAAGGTCAAATGTTTTTTCCTCTCCTCAGTGTTCTTTATTTCCCATGCGAGTAAGTTTATCTTTGGTAGTAAATTGGGTGTGTGTGTGTGTGTGTGTGTGTGTGTGTGTGTGTGTGTGTGGTGGGTAAACAGTAAACAAGTGAGGCCTCTTCAGACAGACTGCCAGTCTGAACCAGCTGCGTGGTGAACGACAGCGGTTTGTTTTATTTGACAGACTGACTCAAACACCGTCTATAAACATCTCCTGTTCTTTTCTTCAATGCATAAAATACTGACTCTGTCCTGTATTTTTTTTCTCGCAAAAAAAAGATTTAAAATAAGAACAATGGAGTGATTCTTACCTTCAATTGTCCCCCACTTGGTTTTCCTCCCCAGCAGCCTCCTGCCGTTCACCTGGTACTCCTGGTCGCTGCCCACCACAGCAAAAGGAATCATCTCCTGCTCAGAGATTAAAGGGCAACAAACAATGGGGTCAGAAATGACTAAGTATTAAGTCTAAGTATTAATGAGGACAATAGAGTCTCATGTATTTGCAGTCTCACCCTGATCTTCTCGTTGATCATTCTGTCCTCTGCGTCCTCGTCAAACTCTTTCTGAGGGTAAACGTCGATCCCGTTGGCTCGCAGCTCTTCCCTGATCTGTGGAGAAGAAATTCAAACGCAGATTTTAACACAACAAACCACTTCAGTTTAGAAAGGATACAACCTAAGGCCCTTTAATTCCAGGATTAATTAGGCAGACTTGTTTAATGCGGCCATGAGAGACATCAGACAAAACGAACCTAAATCTGTGTAGAGCACAGATTAAAAATGTGGTATTAACACTAATCTGCTTCATAATCACCCTGAAAGTTTGGGTTTAGTTATTAATCTGTGTCTGTACACAAACAAAACAGAAACCCTGACATGATGGATGCCTTAAAACGCACACACACTCGAGCATGTGTGGATAAACCAGGGGTACTTTAGCCCCCTCATTGCTCAAGAGAAGCAGGGGAAATCCTGTGATCCTGAAGATTTTGCCAGTAAAAACACACAAATGAACAAATGGAGAGGAAGTATAGAAAGTATGGAGTGAAGAGCAGGAATGAAAGAGAGAGATGATCTCGAGCTATTCATGGAATGAAACCATGTTTTGTGACTGTCCTGAAAGTGCGAGGAGAGGAGAGGGAATGACCACAGAAGAAAACCACAGGAACTTCTTTCTATCTCCGGTTGCACCACAGACATGACAAAAATGCATGCACGGAGAGAGAGAGAGAAAAAGGGGATGTTTCTGGATTATAAATGTTGCTTGAATGGGAACAAATGGGGACATTTGAGATTAAAAATACATATATCTATAAAAAAACATAAAAAAAAAGAGTATATGTAGCTGTTGTGTAGTTACCTTCTTTTTGAAGAAGTCCCTCTCCTCCAAGGTGAGAGTATCTGCTTTGGCAATGACTGGTACGATGTTGACCACCTTACTGAGACGTCTCATGAACTCTACATCAAGAGGCCGCAGACTAAAGCAAGAGAAAGAGGAAAATATATTAAAGAACAAAGACGAGTAAGAATAAAGTAAAGCAGATATTAGCTGTAAAATCATTCATGTAATACAACAACACTCCACCAGAGGGCAGAGGTTCCTCACTCTCACTGATGCAGGAACTCCCACGGCTGCTAACACACAGTATTTACACTTCCAGCTGTTGCATCCATGACCTAATCCTGCTTTACAATGTGTGTGAACAGCTGCATGATGAGGTTGAAAGGAGCTGTGGCCAGTTTGAGCAGCTCAGGTTTTTTCCCGCAGTTTGACAAAAGCGTTAGCGTAAGGTTACGGGAGCGCTTTCTGCTCTTGCTAACAACACATCGACAAAGACCGGCTAATTGTCAACTAAGAGTTTTATGCATTCCTGCAACAGCACACTCAAAATGCTCCCTGGCATGAACACAGACTCTCTGTAATGCTCATCCTTCCTGCCTCTCTCTCCCATTAGACTTTTTAAGGCGATCCCTGAGCAGCTGCTGGACAGCCCATGTGACATCTGCAGCGTTCAACATAAAAATGTTGGGGCAAAGAGACAGGGGGGCCGTTTCACAGCAGCACCGAGTCTGAGAAAAGACAGGCCAGGACACAGGAGTGCAGCTCTTGAAAGGGGCTCTGCAGTAAACTGTGTGCAGACAACCCACAGCTGCTTGACATTCTCCCAAGACTGCCCAACTCTGCACCGGACTTCAGTTACACAAACCCAAAGCTATAAAATGCACAGTGAATCCATCATTTCAAGGACACATGAGACCGTGCACCCTTCCCCTAATTTCTCCTGCTAGTTCTACCCCGCTCCAAACTGTGCAGGGAGAGACGGCAGTTTATGCACTTCAATCAGAGCCAGATGTGTGATTCTGTAAGAGATCCAGAGAAAGAAATTTGGGACAATGTGCTGCTTCAGGGCCTGGTGAGAGGAAACAATTGTGTGTGTGTGTGTGTGTGTGTCCTGGGATATGTTGCATTGCGCTGAGCGGAAATGTGTAGTGATGTGTGAGTGAATTCAATATTTAGGTAAAGGGAGCAGGGAAAACTGAAAACTTGAGAATGAATGAAGACAATCTGTAAGAATAAATGATCTGTCTGCACTGTAGCTGCCAGTAACACGGGCCGGGCCTGAAGTTCCACTTGATGGACTTTTAATGCATTTTCACCACAAGTGAATTCAAGTCAACCCAATACACGCAGTTTTCTTTCTTTTTGCTGGGAATTGGATGAGAAGAATGATACCATTGTGTCCGTATATAAAACACAAAGTCAGATGCCACAGGCGTCGGGTTCTTTTCAAAAAGCCGTAACTGGAAACTTAAATTGTATCATTTTCTGATGAAACTCATCCAAAAGGCATTATCTTCAGCTCCAAGTCTGGCATGCAAAAGCTATTCTCGGGGAAACTTGTGGCAGTGCGTGTTCCTTTCTACGCTCACATGAAACATTTCTCAACACATGGTCAAAAATTCAACACTATGGTATCCTTTAGTTTAATTTCAAACCATGATTACAAACAACTGATCAGGAGTCCTACCGTGCTCTGCTTTTCTCTTCTGTTTTCTTCTTCCATTTATATTTTGTTATTTTAACTTTTCTTTATGGATTTATTCTGTTTGAGAATTGCCCTCATTTTCACTGATGTCAAGAGAACATTCAAAGACTACTTAAGATTTAAAATAAGTTTGAATGAATAAATCAACTGTGGCTTTGTATTTTTTTAAACCTTTGGAGGGGGGGGGGGAGAGAGAGAGAGAGAGAGAGAGAGAGAGAGAGAGAGAGAGACCCCATCTTTATCAGAAAGTTTAACAGATGTTAACTCCATGTTAATCTGAGTGGAGTGCACAGCCCTTCTCATTAACACTCCGTGTATACATATTTTAAAATACTACAAAAGTATTTTCGGGGTGACTTGAAGTTAAAAGAGTCAGCTGTTGGTTGTAGCTTTATAGTTACTGTACAAACATGTGAGAGGTTTGTCATCTCTTAGAAGGAAGTAAATAAGTGTACTGCATCATGTGTTTGGCGATGACGCAGAAGAAGAAAATGAATATTCATGTTATCTTAGCTCTGTGCGTCTGTTTAAACAGGACTCCTCACCAGTGTCCGGTGGGGGGGATGAAGTATATGCAGCAGTGGACTCTGGAGTCAGGGATCCTTTTCTTTCTGTCGATGTTGATCTCCTCCTGCAGGTACGCCTCGTACTGGTCGTTGATGAATTTCATGATGGGCTGCCAGCTGCTCCACATCAGGGAAATACAGAGGGAGAGATGAGACAGACATTAGTTAGAAGCAAAGGGGAACAGAACAGGAAAAAGAAGGGGTTGATGGGTAAAAGCAGGAAGAGGGAGGGGCTCAAAGATAAAGAGTGAGTGAACAGGAAAAGTAAGACAACAGGAAAGTTAAGGAGCAGAGGAGGAAGTTCTGGCTCGACACGATTCAAATATAACTTTATATAAAGACTGACAGAAAAAGGTAGGATTGTAAACGTACCAGTTCTCGTTGTTGATCTGGTCTCCAAATCCTGGTGTGTCGATGACCGTCAGCTTCATTCTCACTCCCTTCTCCTCGATGTCTGCACACAAAGAAACACAAGCAAGGTCAGCCAGCTCACTGTATGCTAGAGTCACAAAAACACCCTTATAAAAACTAACCAGGTGCTAAAGATGGATAAAAAAGAAAGGAAAAAAAGCTAAATTCTGCACATGCAACTATTTCTCATCTGAACGTAAGCAGTATGGAAGACTATGTCAAAGTGTAAATGTATACACAAAGACAAAGAAAAAAAGGAAAAAATTAAACAAATAGAGTATGAAACATGTTCATTTAAGCTGAGAGTTCTACAGACACAGACAAAGAAAAACAGAGGTCTCAGAGAGCAGAGTGAAGAGGTTCAAGTGGCTTGTACCGTGACTGATGGACTTTATTTCGATTGTTTTGGGGATCTTCTCCTGGGCCGTGGCCAGCACTGACTTACGGCTGACTTTAGACTTGAACAGGGTGTTCATCAGAGTAGACTTTCCCAGGCCGCTCTGTCCTGTAAGCAAAACGTCAGAGAGGCGGTGAGGAGACAGCACACACACACACACACACACACACACACACACACACACACACACTACACAAAATGTTTTCCACAAGAGTTTAAACTCAGGGTGACACGCTGCATGTGTCTGCACAAACACAGTCGCCAGATCCATCTTGATGTGTGACAACAACCCAAACACACCATCAATAAGACAGATTGGACCCCTAGGTATGCAGTTAGTTAGCTCAAACAGTTAGGAGGCATGGATTTAAGTGCTCTTATTTACAAGAGGATAACAAACTAACAGAGACATTTCAATTCTGGGAAACACAACATCTGAAATTAAATCCTGACACTGCACAGAATAGTCTGTAGATATGGAATTTAAAGCTGAAATTTGAACTTAAAATGCTCTCCAAGGCTTTAGTGCAGCAGCAGGTGAACCAACTTGATCACAAGCTGTCCGTCTCTAAGGACGGGACCATCTGTGACCCCTTGAACAGCTTCACTTTTTATTAATGAAGAGGAGTTCGAAGGGGCCCTCTGAGTCTGACTGATGGGAAGACAACATTCACAGTTCAACTTTAGGTTATAACAACATCAGGACCTTCCCTGAATGAAGAGGCACACAACAATCCTACATGCATGTAAGGGCTCCAAATTCATCCATGTTTGTTACATGCAAACATGGATCTATACAACCAGCACTGAAGCAAACAGCTGCAGAACTTCATGCAGACACTTTAGACTTAAGTTCTGAAGGTTTGGCAGCTTTGATTTCATAGCTTTCACCCATTTTTACATCAGCTACATTTTCTAAAGTTTTCTCTTTACCAACTTTGATCAAATTCACACACACTCATTATTATTATTATAATACAACTACAGCACTTAGTCTGATATGTTCATTCTGAAATGGTGGAATATATTTTTACCTGAGTGTAAGAAGGTGAGACAGGACACACGTTTGTTAAGTTTTGTTTACCATAAACTTGACGGCAATACGTAACTCAGTCTGAACCCTGAGGCTGCTTCTTCAACAACAACGGGCTTTTTAATTGAGGATGAAACACAGACCGAACGGCGCGACATCATCAAGAGGAGACAGACATGCATCGCGGAGGAGGAGTTGGTTTTATGGTAGCCTGTCTACTGTGGAGCTCTGTGTGTGTGTGTGTGTGTGTGTGTGTGTGTGTGTGTGTATAATTAGCCCCTCATTTTAAAAGTGTCTGATCACAGTGATGAGGACTAAGAGAGAGAGAGAGTGTGTTTGAAATCTGTGTGGCTGCTTATTAAAAAGCTGAAGGCCTCCATTGACTGGAAAACGTTGATTAGAGAGAAAATCTGAATAACAGGACACGTCAGAACAGCTGAATGAAGAGGTCACCAGAGAAACACACTGACGTGTAATCAAGATGGGTTAACATTTTCTACTGACTTCACTGCACTGAATTACAAGTTAAACAAAACGAAGAATAAATTCATCTTGATGTGATTACAAAGTCACATATTTATGCATCAGAGAGAACTTCTTTAGTTTGAGTGTAAATGGTTCTCATGTTGTACTTCATACAGTCAGAGTAATCCTATTGTTAATATTTACAAGCTCTTTGTTGTTTTTATGAGTGAAGGAGCCAAAAGTTTCTCTAAATCAACTTTCTCGTCTGACACACTTCAGTTGAATTAAACCAAATATTGTCTATAAAACCGAAACTTTAGATTTGTTTATTTCTCAAATACCACAGGTTTGATACACGGGGCAGAGATGGGGACTCGAGTTGCACTTGAGACTCATTTGGACTTGCATTTCAGTGACTCCAGACTCGACTGGGACTCGAGGTTTAGGATCAAGCCAATCTTTTTATATTTTATTTCTGTATTTTCTTTATGAGCCGAGTGTCTCGCCCTCCCATCATGCAGCACCCACTGAACTGGTCAGTGTGTACTCATCTGATAAAAAAGGGATAATTTCTTGACGAGTTTAGCACCTCTGCTACTTACCCACAACCATGATGTTGAGCTCAAATCCCTGCTTCATGGCCTTCCTCCTCATCTGCTCCAGAATGGCGTCAATGCCAACGTAACTGAAGTCCACCACGGGACCCCCGGCCTTCTCCCCGTACAGAGCACCCACCGCAGGAGACACCATCGTGTCAGGCAACACCACCTCAGACATGGCACTGCTGTTGTAGCTGGGGATCACTTCTGGCCCTGATGGAAGACGAAAAAAAGAAGGAGTTGATATGAAGTGTGATTTAAATGGATTTTTATGCGTTAAGGGAATGTGGAGTAAGAAAGTGAGGGACGCATTTACTATTGAACCTTAATTATCTGTGATCATAACACACAAACAACTTGCTCCAATAAACTTTCAAAACCCTAAAACAATGGTACCACTCTCTACCAATTTCCCCCAATGGTTTATCTACTTTACAATCAGAAAATTCTTCATCCTGGAAAATCACAGCTAAACATTCGATAAATAAAAGTAGCAGCCTCTTCATCAGCACACGGGATGCACCTGTGGGAGGGTTAAAGCCGAAATGTGTGAAAAATCTGTTCAGTTGTTTTAACCTGCTATCACCTCAAACACACACACACACATATTTAAAAAAAAACATCTGACTTGTAATAAGTCTGGGCTCTTCCAAAGCAGAGTTTTTACTCATCAAAAAACTATTAGAAAATAAACTGTGATGCATTAAAGTACTTTGCACTTGGCAGGAGGTTATCCCGACAGTTTGTTTTGATAATGATTAGCTTAATGTCTCTCTTGGAATGCCAGCTAATGTGTGTCCAATCACCAGAGAAATATCCAGCATGTTTAAGCCCTCTGTAAGGACACGAGTATGCCTGCAGAAAGTGTCTGCAGCTCTGCTTAACAATGTGTAAAGTCAGCGTAGGTTAAGAATTTATAATGTGTATGTTTGCGTCTGTATGTACAGTAGTCCATGAAGCTGCTGCCCCCCTCACAAGGCCCCTCTTTCCCCTCCCTCTCCTCTGTGCAGAGTTACTGTCCTGTTGATGTGAGAGAGGAAAAGACAAGAGACGACTGGGGCTGAAACCTGATACACTCACCCACATACCCCGGGTCAAACACACACACACATACACACACACACACACACAGTACATGCTGCAGTTTTTAAAAACACAAAGTTGACTTGTAGGAACAAAAATGTACTAGCGAATAAAAACTTGAACATGCACGGGCAATCAATCCAAAACTTGCTGCCAAGAGTTTAACAGCTTTTCTTTTCTAGCTCAGGCACAAAAAACTCGGCCTGCCACGAGGAGAAGAAGTCCAGACAACAATCCAGTTCACTCTAAGAATTAAATAGAAAAGAGTTGAGAGCACTGCTGGCATTGCAAGGCCACACACTCAACCCGGTATTATATTTAGTGATGAAAGAAAGAACAGCACTGCCATAGAAATTAAGGTATTTGAGTAAAAATTGTGCAGAATGTCTTAAATGCACAAATATCAAAACTTTGCCAATGTATTTGTGCAGTCTAGCCGGTGCTCTCTCGTACTTGCTTCAGTACTTTTTGGTACAATTGATCATTAAAATAACAGAGATTATATCGTTTCAAAACATGAGGTATCAAAAAGTATCAAAGTATTGCAAACTTTGACAACCTTAGCAGACACTCAACACCAGCTCATTCTCTCCCTGAGGTTTTCTTTCATAATGTGTCTCATTGTGTGTCTCTATGTGTGTCACAGAGACCCACCTATGGAAGCAGCTCTCCTGGCCTCCTTCACCACTTCCTCATCCTGTTCCAGCAGTCAGTCAGCAACTCACCCACTGCCCTCCACCTCTCCTCTACTGCATCCACATTCCTCTACCTCTGCTCATGTCTTTTTCTCCCAACCTCCCCTTTCCTCTCTCCACAGCCTCCTCATACCTTATCTCTGCCGTCGTCAGTTTCCCCTCCCCGCACCAAGTATTACTTTTCTATTGTCTCTCCTGTATTTATTTTTGATCTTTTGTCCTTTTTCTAAACTCTCCTGAAGTCTTTTGATTACCTTTATCTCTCTGACCACTCCTCATGTCAGCCCTCCTCCCTCTCTCCGCTCCACCCGTGCATCGTTGACAGTGATGTACCGAAAACAGAGATGTGTGCTGGAGGCTCACAGACCTTTAGAGACTGGGCTGTGACAACCGAGTCTCACCTGAGGCAGGAGACCAGAGAACATCAAAGGGAAGGGACATACAAAGAACGGGAGCTGACAGTCAGTTTAGATTAAGTGTCAGCCTCAGTAATCTCTACTATCATCCAACAGCAGCCACACCTGCAACACATGTGAATAACCTACATTCTTCCTGCAGCCCTAAATCTCTTGACACCTATATGCAGCCCCAGCAGCAATCCAACCTGACCTTACCAAATAGGTGATAAAACACAGGATGAAGTGTTCCCCAGAGAGTTGATCTGGACCTTCATATCTGCTCAGATTTACTTTCTTTCCCAGATTTCTGTGTACAAATGAAAACAGTATCTATCTTCTGTATGTGATCTTGACATAAGTTCCTTGTTTCCTTGATTACAAAGAACAATGCTTCCCAAAGCTATTGTATTATCAAGATGTCTGTTGTGTATGACATGAAGTAAACACACATTAATCTCCTACAGAGACTGAAAAATACTTCAGTCACCTCCAGTAGACAGAGTGGAGTACAGCTGTAGCTGTGTCTGTGCATCCTGCATCTTAACTAACTGGTTTCCTGGAGAGAAGACTCCACAGCATCGTTTAACTGTCAGCATGAATTCACACCGCCCCTTTTTCTTCGAGTTAAAGAAGAGTCAAACACTGTAAACGACTTGGCAAACATGCAACACAAACAAAAGGAACACAAGTTCCTTGAGCATGACTGTGGGAAACACAGCTCTTTACCAGTCAATGGAAATAAATCTCTTTCATTCCAGGTAGTAAACTGTTTTAGTCCTGCAATCCCACCATGTACCAACGTTGATTTAAGAATTTTAAGCTGTGAGTGAGCCAATAAAACCAGACGGGTGAAGGACTCAGGAGTAGCCGATTGTAAAACATCTGGATGAAGGGACCATTAATCAGACAGAGGTATTCATACTTTAAGCTTATCCATGGTGTCCTTCCACAGTGCTGCAGACGGATAACTGCTCTGAGCCAGTAAACACAGGTGTCAGGAGGCAGCCGGTTGAAGCCTGACCCTGTAAATGTTAGCAGACATTTGACCTCCACGGGGAAAAATGTCTGGCCCTGAAGGATTACAGACTAGTGGACGTTACCTAAACCCTCCCAGACTGACAAATATACAGGTTCATGTCAGGTCAAAGAGGGATGAAAACACAACAAATTGAAGGGAAACCAGGTTTCTGAATGTTTGCCGTCAGTAAACTGGTATTGGAGTAAACATTGTAGGCACTGAATGGTGTTAAATAAGGTCAACTGATCTGGCTCCACCTTTAAAAACAAATAAAGAGCAATTAATGAACTGTTGTGTTAATATTCCCGCAGTGTTTGAGATGACTGTCAGGTGACTCCTCCTGTGTGGGAACTTTGACAAACGGACCTTTACTACATTTTTAAGAGTTGATCTCGTTGGACGTTGTATATTTGCAGCAAGAAAAAGTAGACAATTCTGCACACTCACTTGATGCCACAAAAAGTTTAATCATCACAACATTTCGACCCAATGGTCCTCGATAGGTAATAAAAACGAAAGACTATCACCTGACCATTGGGTCGAAATGTTATGATTAATACACTCTGTGCTGTAGTGTTGAGTACTTTAGAGGTCTTGTTTTCTTTTTCTTGCTGCAATTGTAAAGTTGCCCTACCCCTACATGATATGCATATAAACACTCTCCTTCATATTAGTAGATGTGGACATGCTCATTGTGTTGTTTCTCCTTTCAAAAATGTATTTGGTATTTGAAATACTTAAAAATTAGAAGTATAACTGAACAGCTTAGATGATGAACCTTTAGCAGGACAACCACATTTTGATTTTTATAGATTTGAAAACAGATGTATCAAATTCTTTCACTTTGAATAATCATAGGAGACCGGATTGTTGGTCTTGGTGGAGGTCTGAACTCGCGGAGTAGCCCCTCTAGTTTAGTGTCAAGTCTATAACGTTGCTGAGAAACATCAATCCGTGTGAACCAGTGTTTTAAATCTCCTCACAATGTCTTGGGCTTCAACAGCATTCATAGTAAATAACTGATGTAGGAGTACATTTTCTCCCTCAGCTCTACTTTCTGACAGGTTTTCATCTGTTTAGGTCGAGCGGTGGGATGGCGTGGATAATGCATTTCCTCGGAGTCTGTGAGAGAGCAAAATTCATTTTAGAAATTGGAAAGAAGAGAATGACTCATGAGCTTTCTGCAATCCTGTTTTCAATTACAGGCAATGGAGAATTTTTTTTCCTCGCTTGCTGCAGCATCGGGTTACTTTGCTTTCGGTAAATACGACAAAAAGTCTCCAATACCACAAAGCATTTCGGAGAAGACAAAAGACGACAGACAAAAGGCAAGAAAGAGAAATAAAGATCAAATTAAAGTAGCTGGAAATGATGCCATGCAGAGGAGAGTGGCAAAAAGCAATAGTGCAAAAAGGGAGAGGACTAGTGAGTAGAGGGAGTTAAAAAAGATAAGGTCAGGAAAAGACGAGGGAGTGTGGAATGGAGGAGGAGGGAGGGAGGAAATAATAATAAAAAAAAAAAAGAAGCAGAGTTGAGAAAAACGTTCATGATTTATTCCTTACGGACTTCACACAGGCCTCCAAACAGGGATGTAGATCCAGCATGAACCAGATATTATTTTACAATAAAACTACGGGGGAGTTTGCAGAAGGCGCTGACTGCTTTGTCTATGTTTAGTGAAATGTGCTCAGATCCACTGAGCCGTGCCTCAGCTGTCCTGGGTGTTGATCTCGACAGCGTGGCGAGTAAGTCAGAGGTCACGTTCCCAGTTTAGGATAGAAAAGAATTGCATGGATGTTTGTCCTCTTATAACTAAGCAGTGATTTGACCTTTAGTTTAACCCCACTTTGAGCACAAGAGAGGAATTCAGAGAAAAGAGAAGGATTGGAAACATGGACAAAAAGAACTTCACACCTGGAGGAGCGATTCACTCACTGAATTCCTAAAAATCGGATTCTCTCTCTAGTCAACAATTTTCTATTCTATTAAGTTATTAGATACTTTGCTTAAAACTTTAAT